CAAAATTGCCACTACATAGATCTTAAACAATTTTTTTATATAAAATTCGAGCCGATTAAAATTTATTTTTTACATATTAAAATTTGAACTAATTTGAGCACAACTTGAACTATTAGCGTTGATTAAAATTTAGTTCGAGTCGAGTCGATTAAAATTTATAATTTTTTTCTTTATTAATATTCGATTCAAGTTGATTAATTTTTTTTTTACTTATTAAAATTTATATTTTTTATATATCAAAATTCAAAACAATTAAAAATCAATGCGAGTTGATTAAAATTTGAACTCTTTGACTTTTTCGATCGAAGAACCCTTTACCCAGATAGACTTCTAAATTTTTGCGAAAAATGTATTTAAGTGAATGAAGTTGAAATTTTGTGGAACATAAATACTATTTAATTTGAACTTCAAGCAAAATTCTTAAAAAAAAAAATGCAAAATTCTTGGTTACTACTTAATCGAAGACCTACATGGCCAACTACAGTACTAAAGGAAGTATTGTACCAAAAAGCTATAACGTTTTAAGATCAAATTATAATTTTTTTCAGGGTCTAAGTTAAAATTCAAAGAGTTATGATCAATAATAAAATGATGTGATTGATAATAAAAAAATGCATAAAATTTTAAAGGTTTAAATCATACATTTTTAATGTGATGTTTCAAAAATTATTCATTATCGAATCCCAAACAATAAGAGAATATCTTATTTTGTCTCCTGAAAAATATAAAAATTTTCAATTTGTTCCACGAATAATTAATTTTCTCACATTGTCCCCTCACATAAATAAAAATATTATAATGTGGTCCAAAAACGTTTTTATTGCAATATTTTTTGGATTATATTGTAACATTTTTATTTTTTTGAAAGAGTAATATGAAAAAATTAATCATTCAAGGTATAAATTGAGATTTTTTGTATTTTTAAGAGAGCACAATGGGATTTTCCCTAATAATAATTATAAAAATAATAAAAAAATAACGATGGTTATTTTCTTAGTCAACAACCAAAATGATTTTTCAACTTTGACTTTTAATTTCAGACATCAAAATCAAAATCTTCAAAGATCAGTGAATCTGTTGGAAACAGTGAAAGGTGTGGAAGAACATAAGAGGGGGGGGGGGGGGGGGGGGGGGAATCTAACACCATATCGACATCTGACGGTGGTCCAGATTAAATCTCAAAAATTGAAAAATAAAAGTGACTGTTTTTTGGACTTATATAAACCATAAATTGGTTATTGACCGTTAACTATTACTTTTTTAAAATATTACCACTTATTAGGATTGAAATGACTAATTTCTCCCTCACTAATTATATAAAATAAAAATAATGTTGCATGAATTTAAAAATTAGACTTAAAAAATAAATTTGATAATCACAACTATTGAATAGGTAGTGTATCTCAAAAAATGTTGAGACCCACAGTGAAATCAATAATTATAATTATCAAGTCTATTTTTAAAATTTAACTTTTAAGTCCAAGTATCATTTTTCATAAAATAATAGCTTTACTTCCTTACCAGAAGTATCCTTTTCGTCCAAGTTCTAAATTTTTTGATTGTAAGTTCAATCTTATAGAAAATCTCTTTCTTTTTTTTTTTTTGGTAAGTAGTTGTTTAAGTTTGTTCCAACTATTCCTTAGAACTCGGATATTGACTACCGTAATTCCAACGAATTTAAAACATGTCTAATAAAAAATAAAAGCGACTAATCCTTTGGGATTAACGAAAACTTTTAAATTTAAGATGTATGAGTTACAAGAACCAAGCTTAACCAATGACCCATACAAAAAGTCAAAATGAATTTCAATGGTTCCCCTATAGATCATCCTATTTCTTAGAATACCCATTAGATTTTCTTAGTCTCGTGATAAAGATGTAATTACTAAGTAGTAAATATTAGAGTCAAATTTTATTATCGTTGCGTGATATATTTAAAAAATTAAGAAAATATCATTAATAACCCTATGGATTATCCTATTTACCAGAGCAACCACTAGATTTTTCTATTGTTGTGGAAATGAAAACAAATGTGAGGGAACAAATGAAACATTAAAAAAGTTTTTTCAATTGAGGGAAGGGTCAAATTGTAAATATGTCTACTTCTCCTGACACCGAATAAAATCTAGGGTGGGGGACCCACATGAAAATTACCCATCAAAAGGATAATCAAAATGGGACCGTAATGTATTTCATGCTCTGTTTTGATCTTCTCTGTTTTTTTTCAGAGGGAAAATCACTGATTTCAAATCAGCACTGTGTTGTCCTTCACGCCCTTTTAATTTCTCAGAAAATGACTGTTTGGGAGAATCTCTGTGGGATGAAAGAAAATTCAAAAGAAAGTGAAAAGGAAAATGCCAAAATGGGGGTTTTGGAGCAATGAAAGAAGATGCCAAACAGAGTGCATGTGCCAAAGCGATAAGATATTCCATGTGCATTTGCGACATGAGCGCCGCTAAACCCTCTTTAAATCGTTTTCAATTGACAAATTGCAAGAGATACGAAATGGGCTTTTTTTTATTTGGATCTCATTATATATTTAGATTATCCCTATTACATCTAGACAAACAATGCCTTAAAAAATTTACACCCTGTTTTTTTTAATGGTTTCTCATTCTTTTCCGTATATAGTCAATCATATCGAGTAGTATGAAAACAGAATTAGAGAGAAAATGTCCGGGTTGGTTGCACCCTTTTTACCTTCCTTGAAAATAAAATATTTGTTAGTTTCAGAATAACATCGTTCCAAAATTATTGTAAGAGGGTTGAATAAATACGAGGGTGACATTTCGCGAGTAGAGAGTATTAGTGATGGAAATAAAAAATGGGTACCATTTTACCATGAATTTCGCCTCTCATATATTGCAATTTGGTGTTAGTGAATGTCAGATTGAATCAGTTTACAATAATAATAATAACAATTTGGGATTGAAATAATACTATTCCTAATTCATTTCCACATGAAATGCCTTGAAAAAGAGAAAAGCGAAAATCGGTTTTGTATTGAATTAGTACTATTTTCTAATTAATCTTATATGTCTTTCGTAAAGCCAGAATTTGGTTAGGCATCTACTTTTGCGAAAATGGTGATCAACTGGGTGAGTATGGATTTGATTGAATTGATCAATTGTATGAGTTCATGAATATGACTTAAAATTATTAGGGATTATTCAACCGGTAACTAACAGAGATCAACTGTAAGTCTAAATATTTTGATTTTGAATTTGAATCCTGATAGTTCCTTATAATCAAGTTATGAGAGATTTATTTCTCATGAATACCCTAGTTTTAATGTGAATGACTTATTTTTAATCGAATTAAGAAAAATGTTGATCAAAATGTGCATAAATTAACTCAAATACTCTTGACCGTTGAAAAAACAAAAATGACTTGACACGCTAAAAGAGTTGGCGTGAGATTATGATTGAAGTTGATGTAAAGTTACATTGCATTTTCTAAATTTTGGTTCCTTTTTTTATTGTGAGATTATGATTGAAGTTGATGTAAAGTTACATTGCATTTTCTAAATTTTTGTTCCTTTTTTTATTGTACAATACCACATAATGGAAGGCGTCAGACAATTCAAAGGATGTTATTTTTTTTTTGGGCTCAACAGACAGATTTGTCTAGACGAGTTTATAAATATTTTGATTAATTTCTCCTTTAATTTGGTTAAAAATAAACCATTCAAGTTTGGATTAAAATATTTATGAAGGATAAATTTTTTATAACTTGACTCCAAGGTGTTACTAAAATTCAAATTCAAGACGTTTGAATGTATAATTCGTCTCTGTTGTCACTTAAGTTACCCTTAATCTTCAATAATTATTGCTAAATCATAACATTGTCTCCGAAAATCTCGGTCCTCTTCTTCTGCTAATCAACTTAATTAGAATCCGAACTTCGTTTTCCTGGTAGATCTTGTAGACTTTAATCCACTATGGACCCTCTCAATATAACTAAAGATTACGATTAGATAGCTGAATAAGAGATCCACCTTGCTGAATATCTACATATATTAACCAACTGGGGTAGCTCAGCTGGCCAGAGCTTCTGGCTTCTCAGTGAAAGGTTAGGGATTCGAAATCCGTCACAATAGCCTGACTGTTTGGTAGGATAAGACCTCAGTTATTTGGACGATCCGTATCTAAGTTTCTGGTATGGGTCTTGAGTCCTCGATGAAACGCAAGTTCTAATTTAAATGTTGTATGAGTTGAGTGACCGGTTTATACTCTGGCTTTGAGTTTTGTCTTTGATTTTACTCAGAGTTATGAACACGAGTAATATAAGTGCGTCTTTACTCGTTAAGGAGAGGGTATAAAATTTCTCCGTTTGTAAAAAAGAATATCTACATATATTTACTACTACAAGCAAAAATATAGACAACCATATTGAAGGCCATAAATGATTTTGGATCTTATTAATCGTCGCATTTTTGTTCTTTTTTTTTTAAAAAAAGAAACTATATACATTTGATTAATTAGGACAATCTATAAGGACGAGTTCTCCAGTACCTCAGATCAATCAACAAAACTCTATATTTCAAGATAACTGGTGTACTCTCTTATTATCGGTTCTTGTTACAGTAATCGTATCAAAAAAACAAAACTTTTGTAGAATGCTCCTAATATCTACTAAAACAACACCCACAGGATCAAAGTCGGTTACTGTTTGTTCTTTTAATGGTAAGAGATTTTGATACGCGAGATTCCAACTTTAAAATTTTAATATCATTACTTTTTCTCATTAAATTAAGACTGGTTGAGAAGAATTCATAGTTTAGCAAGGGGACAAAGATTGAATGGTTGGCCACTACTCGTCAAGCCCAACTCAACATGTCATTAAAATAACCTGAAATTTAATAAGTAAATTGTCTATTTGAAGCTATGAGTTCAGACATGATCCACGAGTCTTTCTCTTTTAAGTTTACTTAAGACAGAAGTCCCAATTGCATGTTTTTCGATTTCATTTTAATTTTCAATGTTTCGATTGCATCAAACATGTTTCAAATGGCGTATCGCACTACCGGTAATCACTACATATCAACACATAATCATCAATGTATGTTGCGACTAGATTTGGCAGATACAAATTAAATGAGAATGAGCTCATTAGTTATGAATCAGCACACAGTATCAAATACACATGTTGGGGGTATCCTTTACTTTTTCTTGTTCAGTTATAAAGAGTGGGGGGTGGGGTGGGTTGGGTGGGGTCTGCAGCTTTTGAACAAATTAGTATTTAATGAAGGGAATTATTTTTCTACACCAACGATAAATTCAGTAGTCGTTTCTATTAAATTCTTCTACCAGAAAAGATTTCGTATTCAATTCACTCACGCCTACCAAGACCCAACAAACGGCTGGCTGAACAACCAAAAAGTACGAGAGAGAGAGAGAGAGAGAGAGAGAGAGAGAGAATAATTGTATACCATGCACATGCAATTGTGCCAATTTTCAACGGATGACATTTGATGCGAACATGGAACAAGCACTTTTTTTTAGGGCTAATTGCATTTTACACCCCAAAAGATGTTTCAAATTTTAATTTGTACTCTTAGACAATAAAAATCTAAATTTATACAATTTCGGGCGTGAGAATGAGATATGTTTATCGCCGTAGATCATCGTCTATGATCAATTTGACAAATATTTTGTGCCGACAATAAGATTTTTTTAATTAGATAATGATTAAATCTATCATGTGTAATTTATATGAAACATCAATAGTATGAAATTTACATAAGTTCATATCCGAAACACTTATAATTCAAATGCCTCAACAGATGACGAAAGACCAAACAACAGTTTGAGTCAAGTCCACATTACTACAAATTCGTAACATTCAGAGTGTAATTTGAGATTTTTAATGTTTACGAGTAAAAATTAAGAATTAAAACATCTTTCGGGGTGTAAAGTGACTTTTAGTCAAAAAGTAAAACAATGTTTAATTCTTATTTTTTGTAACCAATTTATATAAATCTTAATGTGCAAATGCTATATTTACAGATATGGTATATGTATATACTAACCTACGTGTAATTTTATGTTAGAGACAACGAGTACATCCAGACAAAGAAAAAAAGTGACAAAAACCAACAACTTAAAAAAAAAATTACTTTTAAAATGTTACCTAAATTTATCTTAATTTTGACGTTTTTTGAATTAGTGATTACATGTATCAACTCACACAACATACGAACATAAATCCAAATCTAAAATGATAAGATTGTTATACCGTATTACCGGGACGGCACATATGTCGACCCCACTAATTTACATGGTTATGCTAGTGATGGAACTTGGAGTAAAATCTTAAATTGACATAACCCTCATTCTCGTGTAACTTTTTATTTCATGAGACTATGAGAGGAGTAAAAAAGAATGTCAAGGAGAGACACGAGAGAGCCAAAAAAAGAGGGAAAAGGGGTATCTCTGCGGCTAATGGTCGATGCTTGCATGTGCAGGTTTGGAAGTTTTTAACCTTAAGAACGAAAACAATGGACCCCACTTGGATTTGCAGGATTTCCTACTCAGAAAGCTACAAAAACAGCACGGTTTCAACCTGAAAACCAGCCAAATGGACCCCAAATCTGCCCTTCTTTCTCAATTCTCACCATTAAAACCTTTTCATGGGTATCATGGGGTGATCCAAATACTTATCAAACTTCTCAACTCGAGATTGAAAGTTTGAGTTTTGAAATTTATCTATCAACATAATCTCTGAACGTTCTCTTTTACTCTCACTCATTTCTTAAAAATAAAAAAAAAACCTCTTAATACTTTAATTCCCAAGTTGGTTTTTGGTCCCCAGCAGCCTTGAAAAGTGTCAGTTAGTAGTTACTGTGGCCACAAGGGCCTAGTTACCTCCTCTAAATTCCTATTTATATCACCCCCATCCTTCCACATTTTCTCCACACAACTTTCTCTCTCTCTCTCTCTGGCTCATTAACTCAAGGCTCAACCACGATGTAACCATCTTCCTCCATTCCTTTCTCATTCTTTTCTTCTGTTTCTTTGAGTGTTCAAATGAGTAAAGAAACAACTGTAACATTACTGAGTACTATTAGTAGAGTTTTAGTTTTTGAGGTTTCTAGAAAATGCTAAAAGGGGTACTTCATTTCTGCAGGAAAATGGCTCTTATTGGGATTTTCTTGGTGGGTTTTCTTGCACTGGTCTCATCTGTTCAGGGGTATGGTGGTGGAGGATGGGTCAATGCTCATGCCACCTTCTATGGAGGGGGTGATGCCTCTGGGACAATGGGTATGGAACGCACACACACACACACTCTCTCTCTCTCGGCATTTTTTTTGTATTAATTATCCTCTTATGTTGAACAAAATTTGCAGGTGGGGCTTGTGGGTATGGAAACCTGTACAGCCAAGGGTATGGAACAAACACTGCAGCTTTGAGCACAGCTCTGTTCAACAATGGGTTGAGCTGTGGATCTTGCTATGAGATTAGGTGTGAGAATGATGGCAAATGGTGCTTGCCTGGTTCCATTGTGGTCACAGCCACCAATTTCTGCCCACCAAACAATGCACTCCCAAACGATAATGGAGGCTGGTGCAACCCTCCCCGGCAACATTTTGACCTCTCCCAACCTGTCTTCCAACAGATTGCCCAGTACAAAGCTGGGATTGTACCTGTAGCTTACAGAAGGTATGCTAAGTGGCTTTTTGTGGGTTCAATTTCAAGCCTTTTATGCTAGAAAATGGCTTTGTAATGCTATTGAGGTATCAAAATCTGTTTTTACTTGTCAGATCTGAGGTCAGTTATGTAAATCAATTAATTTGTGTGACCATTTGTGTCTCTTTCTAATATTTACTGCAAAGGTTTACATCAATGTTATGATTTTTAGCTCATTTGCTTTTGACATATCTGGTCCATGAAACAGAGTATTCAACTGTTCAAACAGTGTATTTAAACCCTTGTCTAATGCTTTTTTTTTTTTGAATGGTCCCTCCTCAAAAATGAATGAACCCTACAGGACATGCTTTTGGTCATTCACAAGGAAAACTTCTTCAATTAATTGAAACTATTTTCAGGATATGTAACTACGTGGGTACCATACCAAAGTTCTTATTGAGTCATAGTTTTTGATTTAGTTGATTTTTTTAGCAATCGATTGTAAAAATGGTAAATTAACGTAACATGATACAGTACGACAACTTCACACGTGTCACGATTTTATTAGACGAGAGATTGAGGAACAGTAACCGTAACCGTAACCGTAACCGAATTCTGTAAACTAATTGCCTGTTGTGTCATTTGTTTTGTAGGGTACCCTGCAGGAAGAGGGGAGGCATAAGGTTCACCATCAATGGTCACTCCTACTTCAACTTGGTCCTCATAACCAACGTTGGTGGTGCTGGTGATGTTCATGCTGTGTCCATCAAAGGGTCCACGACTGGTTGGCAGTCCATGTCAAGGAACTGGGGTCAGAACTGGCAAAGCAACAATTATCTGAATGGTCAAAGCCTCTCATTCAAGGTCACTACTAGTGATGGTCGCACTGTGGTCTCCAACAATGTTGCCCCATCTGGCTGGTCCTTTGGGCAGACCTTCAGCGGAGGGCAATTCAACTAAAGTCGTGTCCAGTTGGATTCATGTCGGTTGCAAACCTGGCACCGCTAATATTTACTAAATAGGTTGCTAGGTGTATGATATATAATACTAATATAGTCACTAATATTAGTATTGTGACTATTAGTATGGTAGAGAATAGAAGTAGAAAGTATGTATATGGGGGTCAGGCTTGGCCTCTAGGGTCAAAATGAAAAGGGCTTATTTTAAATGGTCCTTTTTTTTTTTTTTCATTTTAATCTGATTGTTGGGTACCCTAGTAGTGTGGGACCCTTCATTCTTGAAAGTCATTTTTCTCTATATTTTTCCTTCTGCTTAGAGGCAGAAGATGGCAGAGGTGGTCTTTCACCACCCGCCTGCAGTGTTTCTTATTGAGATTTTGGAGCCCTTTTTTAGGCTTGTGAGGTCGTTGTTTGTTATGGTTGAACTCTATGAAGCTAAATTGTAAATTCTATTTCCATATTAATGAAAGTATCTATTATCCTACATGCCTTTATTGTTCTTGAAATTCAATCTGGTGGAAAATTGCTACCCAAAATCATGGTCATAGAATTTGCTTTAAATTGTTCTAATTATGTGCCATTTAAGTGTATAGTTGTAATACAAATTTTGGTCTTCGCGATCGCGTTTCTAACTATGTGCATCTACAAAATAAAGGTCTAGTCTAAGAGGTTCTCAAACTCAAGATAATTGAATTTAGCAATAGCATTTGCATTTTATTCAACCATTGAGCCAACTAATGATGGTTTTTGGTAAATTTCATTGTATGATTAACTAAGATGTCAATTTTTAGGTCCACTTGTGGATCCAAGATTGACAGACATGAAAACCTAGACAGGAAGAAGGCATAGAAGATGAGTGTATGTTGAAGTTCAGTGACCTAATACGAAGAACCCCCTTTGAGAAAAAAAAAAATTAAGAGCACGTTAGGTAACGTTTGTGTTTTTGCCTCTTAAAAAAAATTAAAAAGAGAGATAATTTGTGTTTCTGTTTTGTGATAAACACTAAAATAAAAAACATATTTGGGAGTCATTTTTGTCAATCAAATTATGAGAATAAAAACAAAAAAAAAATGTTTGGTAATTACTTCAAATTTATTCTAAATATGTTTGATATTTATTTAACTATTATATATCTTATATGGCAATTCAACAATTCCAAATAACAATTCAGTCAATCCTAAATGACAATTCAATAATTGTAAATAAGAATTCAATTAATATCAAATGACAATCAATCACAAATGCAACACACATAGAATGAACACAACAAACACATACACACAGATTTTGTGTATATATGCACAAATCTGTGCATATATATGCACAACTTCTGGGTTTCACAAAGAAGAAGGGAGAGAGAGAGAGACGAAATGAGTTTTTATATTTCAACAAAAAAAAAAGTCTTGTTTTGCTGTTAAGAGGTGTCGAAGTCCGGATCTCATTAATTTTTCACCTTTTTTATGCATGTTGTCTCTGTTTTTGGTGTTTCTTGGAACATTTTTTTTTATTCCCATTTTTTTGTCGTTGTTTTCAAGACAACTAATATAAAACAAAAGGAAAAAACATTACCCAAACATATTTTTGTATTTATTTTTGACAAAAATTGAAAAAAAAATATAAAACATAAGACAAAGACAATAAACAAACATGCCCTAAAGTTTTCAATTCTTCAATTACCCCTGCACAACAGCTATTTCAATGGAATACACCCTAAGGTTTGTAATTTGGTATATCCCTATTCTTTAGTGACATTGGCACTATAATTGGTTTCTTCAACTGCAATATAAAACGTAAGGTTTGTACTTTGGGTGTAAACAAGCATTGGGAAAGAATAGAAAGTGGTCGAAATTAATAATTGAGCTCAAGTAGTAATAGAGACGAACTGTAAATTCAGATATTATGAGTTCGAATTCTCAAAATATCTTGGGGTTAGGACATGAGGGATTTATCCCTCATAACCTACCCCCCGCGTGTATAACTTATATTTGATTGGATTGGAGTAAAAATTAGTCGATGTGCGTTTAAATTGGCGCAGACACTTTTGACCATTGAACAAAAAAAAATTATTAATTGAGCCCAAAAATTTGGAATCAAACACAAAAATTGTGATAGATTTCAAATTCCTATGTTTAAAACATACAAAATTGAACCAAATGTTTTGAATAACTCGAGAAGTGATTTATTCGTTGGATTGGTTGGCAGATCTCCTAGTGCGCAGTGGGCATTGCATGAGAGAAAAAGAATACATTCATTTCAATGTCCCTTTCAATAGACTAATATGTTAAAATCAAGGGAGAATTACACTCACACTATTTAAGTTTGTCACTTAATCATTTAGATTTTTTAATATTTAAAATATTATATTCAGACTCTCTAAAATTTATACACGCATGACACTTAGATCCCTATTGTAAATATATCTACTAATAAATTACATTCAGACTCCCTAAAATTTGTAAACAAATATTACTTGAATTACTTAAGTTTAAAATGTTATATTTAGATCAAAAATACTTTAATCAAAGATATAATATTAAATATTTTAAATTTTACAATTAATATTCATATTCTATTATATCATTTATTGAAATAAAATAAAAAAATAAAAATTCAAATTTTTCTTAAAAAATTGTAATTAATATATAATTATATTGTTTATTAGAATTTAATTTGGTAGTTTAACCAACCAAATTAAAATACCAAACTATCCTAATTGAAACTAAAAAATATTGTGTTCATTACAATTTGACCATCTGTTTAATTTTTTAGTTTTATTCTAATAGATATTATAATTGTATATTAATTATGTTTTTTTAAAAAAAAATTAGATCTTTGTTTTTTATTTTATTTAAATAAATGACATAATAGAACATATATTTTGATTGTAAAATTCATGTTCTATTAAGAATGACTTAGACCCTTGTTTGATTTTTTTGTTTTATTTCAATAAATAGTATACAATTTTTTAAGAAAAAGTTGAATTTTTATTTTTATTTTATTTTAATAAATAATACAATAGAATATGAATTTTGGTTGTAAAATTTAAAATATTTAATATTCGATCTTTAATTAGAGTATTTTAATTTAAGTATAACATTTTAAATTTAAGAAGTCTAAGTATTATATGCGTACAAACTTCAAGGAGTCTAGGTATAATTTATTAACGAATATATTTACAGTAGGGGTCTAAGTGTTACGCGTATATAAACCTTAACGGGTCTGTGTGTAATATTTTAAATATCAAGGAATCTGAATAATTAAATGACAAATCTCAAAAAAATCTAGACGAAATTCTCCCTAAAAATAATGAATGAATAGCATGGAAATAAAATGTCACGTACATATTAGTCATTCACTCTAGTTACCATGGGATCTTTAGAAAACAAAATAAAAAAAAAAAATTAGTATATAATATGGATATGCCACTTTATATATTTGTCAGAGAGTGTTGTTTTTTAACACCACACAACTATTTGTGGAAAACCATTAGTTCAAAGACAGATCAGATCATCGACGCCGGAATTAGGGTATTCATGAGCAATAAATTGCTCATAACCTAATTGCAAGAGAGTGTTAAAATTCAAACTCAAGACATCTGAATTTACAATTCGTCGATATTATCACCTTAGTTACCTAAGCAGTTAATCAATCATCCACCAGTCAACGCTATAAACTATGGTCAATAATCCAACATTAAACACCAAGTTAACAGTCAATGAATGATGTTAATATCAAGACTTTTAACCGGATTATATTAAAGAACAATAAATATCAAAAAACAAAAATAATACAGTAAGAACTTAATTTAATATAGTCATTAGATTAGTTGTGAGTTCCAGTATTAGATAGAATTTATTACCAATTCAATGATTGTATTAAATAAAGTCTCGAAATTAAATTATCGCATTAAGTTTAAATAACATTTTACATCAACAAAATTATAATTTTTAAGTCAAATTTAAAATTTTTGGAGAGTTTAAATTACAATTATAATTTTATAAAGACATAATCAATCACAAAATATTATAATTTATTTACAAGACCACATCCATCACAACTTTAATGCATTTTAATATAACCTTAAACTAGTATAATTTAATCATTAACAAAATATTTCTCCAAAAATAAAGTGGCTCAACAGCCGGTAGTAAATTTTTTATATTAGTGGCGAGAAAACCGGGGCCGGGCTAGTCCATAACATACGATTGGGGGAGGGGGGGGCTCTGAAAACGACGAGTCAAACCTTAGCTTTTGCTCAGAGTTCAGTCTGCGTCTGTGTCTGTGTTCATGTCTCGGGTCTGGGGCCCCGTGTCTACATTTTTCAGTCTCTCACTGTTCAGCGGCTTCACTCTCTTCAGTGTCAGACCATATCGTATTCGTAATCCCATAGGATATGATACGATATGGTCTTACAAATGAAGGGAGGGAAGGTATTGGTATCTCCCGCGGCACCAAACAACATAAATTTCCGACATTACCATGTGAATCGCCGCATCTGTCGCCAACACGCCGACGTGTGTACTAGTTTACTTTTTCATTCTTATAATCAAGTGGGAGGAGTACAGTTATTAGGATGTAGAAAACTTAATTTTTTAATTTGATATTATTTTATTTAATCAAAATAATATATATATATATATATATATATATATATATATATATATTTATATATAATTATTTTATTTAATTTGTGGTATTAACTAATAATGGTAGAATTTTGGAATGGACTATCCATCCTAAACCCAAATCACTTAATGGGCCAAAAAAGGCGCACAACGGCCCAAGAAACGTTTTAACAACCTACCTAGTCCGTAATAATGAATGAACCATAATCCAAAAGAGGAAGCCCAGTAGAGAGTCTAACTCAACATAACCCTGCTCGGCCATAACAAGGTCAGCGTTAAGTAGCCTGAGATCAAAGAGTTTGGTACTCACCAGACCCCAAATGCCCCATTTCGCGCCACATGTCCGGGGGGTCCAGAAGACAACTTCTGAAGCCTTTCATAAACGTGTACTCTTTGACAAAGGAAATATTTGTGCACGTAACTACCCAAGGATCGTGGATACAGTGGTGTTGCATGACAGAGATTACTAAAGGATAAAAGAAGAGGGGACCACAAAATCAAAAAAAAAAAAATAAGTGGAAGACGCAACCCTACAAAGATTACCTATATAAATAGAATACTATCACATTACAAGAAGGGATAGGCAATTTCTTCTTTGATATACTAGTATTACTGAAGAATTGTATGAACAGGTCTTAAGCTCAACAATCTATTGTAATTTTCTTCTTCAAGAAATATACATACTCCCAAGGAGCAAGAAATTCCAATACAATGGACGTAGTCATAGTTTCTTGATTAAGGTGAACCACTTATATACTATTCTTGACTCATTCACACAGTTTAATCTATTGTCAATTCATATATTCACACTACCCCCTCTCTAAATCATCAAGTCATCATTTTGGACTTGGGCTAAGTA